TTGTGATATTTTACAGAGGTTTAAATTGGTGACTTTTGTAGTGAACAAATGTGATAGGCTACTTTATATAAACGTTTGAGCAGTCTAGCTTAAAAATTCAGTGAGTTACAGATGCTGAAACAAAAAGTGTCACAACCATACCCGGTTTCTCCCTATAAATCTTATATATAAATCAACTTTATAAAAAAAAAGAGCTGGGCGATAATATTATGACCCCGCTTTTTATATAATGGTGAATGAAATATGCTATTTTCAGGCTTTCAAAGCAGTTTAAAGCAGCAAGCAGAAGTGTGATATTGGTTAGGAAACATCTGAAGCTTGTCACAGAGTTTGCTGATCTGAATGCTCAAGTGTGAAAAGGTTTGAGATGATAAGAGATCAGATGACTGATAGACTTGATCATCAAAAGTATGAAAAGCAGATAGTGCCAAAGAGAGAGAGAGAGAGAGAGAGAGAGAGAGAGAGAGAGAGAGAGAGAGAGAGAGAGAGAGAGAGAGAGAGAGAGAGAGAGAGAGAGAGAGAGAGAGAGAGGCAGGCTCAACTGAAACTCTTTTCTTCTGTTCGTGTGAAACCAGAAGCAACAGCGACTTCAGGTACATTTTCTATCATTCTTGCATTTATTATATTTCAAGTGCTTGCTTTGGTTTAAAGAAAATTATTTAGTTTCATTCTTTTGTTGATCCTTTTGTAGTATTTTCCATACTTCTTCAGTTCATAACAGTAAAGTAAAGGAAGCCCAACAATCCTCAGACTGTGAGAGATTGTGAAAACTTTATACTTGCCCCTTCTATAGTCCTCCATGCTAGTTGGATGAGGTGTTGAATGATGTATACACTTTTATATAAATAGATAGATGCACTTCTATGGACTTTAAAACAGAAACGTTCATTTACTGCCATTATAAAGCTTGGAAGAGCGGGATAACTGTAAGTTTCATGGGAGCCCTCAGAGTCCAAGAGCCTTGTTTAAGAGGCATTTTAGGCTATGGGACAGATATAATACAGCATTAATAAACAATTGTTTTCAATGAGATTGTGAAAATAAGTTTATTTAGACTCATTTTACCTGCATGCACCACTATCTCGATGCATTGTTAAACTTTCTTAAAACATTCCTACTAGTCTTATAGTGCACAATTCACAACCAGTTCATGTTATTCTAAAGAATTGAAATGTCTGTATTTATATTTTTAAAGGGATAGTTCACCCAAAAATGAAAATTAGCCCAGGATTTACTCACCCTCATCCTACATACACGACATTCTTCTTTCAAACGATACAAACAGAGTTATATTGAAAAATGTCCTGGCTCTTCCAAGCTTTATAATGGCAGTGAATGAACGTTTCTGTTTTAAAGTCCATAAAAGTGCATCTATTTATATAAAATTGCATACATCATTCAACACCTCATCCAACTAGCATGGTCCTCCCTATGAGGGACAAGTATAAAGTTATAACTTTAATAATTCAAACATAAAATTTTTGAAATGTAGTGAAATAGAGAATTGAGGCTGTTTTTTCATACATCCAAGACATATCTTCAACTGTCAAAACCCAAGAAAAAAAAAGGCTAAACATTTATTCAATATATATTTATACATGATTTGCGTGGCATTAGTGAAACGAGTTGTGAAAAGTGTGAAGTCTAACGCGTGAAGTCTCGTGCACTTTATTGCTTACCAACTTGGTTTAAAATTAATGTGTTTTTCTACTCATAACAGCTCTTTTTCACAAGTGTCTAGCAAGAAATGCAGAAACATGATCACCCAGTGTAATGTTGAAAATGACACTCATTTGTCAATGAACTTGTAAATTTTCTGTCTGAGAATGCTTATAAATTCTTTGTGACAAATGACAATGCATGTGTTTCAGCTGTATGAGGTAGAAGCTGTTGAACTGAAGGTGTGTGTGGACGGGTCTAGATTTGAGCCTCACACAAATTACACAGTGCGTGTGAGATCTCGGCCGGATCAAGTGTATTATAAAGGCGTGGAGTCCGTGGGCCCCTGCGATACACTGGAGGTCAGGGGACATTCTCAGTGAGTCCGATTGGATAACACGCAAACAAATGCAAAGGAGAAACAGTACAGATGACAGATGCAGTTACTAAGATTCATCTCACTTTGTGTGTTTTAGAAAAGACTCTGGAAAGATCTTCCCATATTGCCTGGTATTTTCTTCCTTTGCCTTTTCTGCTGGTCCTTCTGTCCTGTATCCCATACTCAAGGTGAGAAACATCCTGAAATTCTTTGATTTCTTCCATCTGTTGTTGATCCTTTTGTAATATTTGATGTATTTTCCATACTTCTTCAGTTCATAACAGTAAAGTAAAGGAAGCCCCACAATCCTCATTGAGAAAATAAGTTTATTTAGTCATAATTGGCTCATTTTACCTGCATGCACCACTATCTCAATGCATCGTTAATCAGATTAAAATGTACAATTTGCTGTTTCTGAAGTAATGTTGTGTGGAAGCTACAATTTTAGACCCAGTTTCCTGTTTTTTATTCCAGTTTCCAAAGTACAATCAACTACAATTACATTAAGCTGGCTTAAAAAAAATGAGTTTAATCTTGTATAACATAAAAAGGTTGAAAATTTCAACATATGTAGTCAACTTATTGATAATATGATTTTTTACTTTTCTTTTCATATTGATACGTCTGTTTGTTTGTTACAGGTTAAAGACAACATGCATCGCTCTTCTTTCATTCTCACATTGATATGTTTGTCTGGTGTTTTGGCAAGTTTCATCACTTTGGGTAAAAAATTCTGCTCACATTGTTATATTTTAGGATATATCCTATGTGTTTATTGTGATGTATTATATGTCGTCTATAAAACTGTGTTCAGGTGATCGATATAGTCTGGAGTGTCTCAGTAATTATTTATCCATCATCACCTGCTCTCTGAACATCTCGGATAAGTCTCTGGGCAACGAATCGTCCTACTGGCTGCATTTCAGAACAAATGAAGGGTGAGAATACAGCACTGAATCACAATCACAATCACATATCTATCTATCTATCTATCTATCTATCTATCTATCTATCGACCAATCAATCAATCAGACAATCAATCAACCAATCATTCAATCAACCAATCAATCAATCAGTCAATCAATCAACCAATCAACCAATCAATCATTCAGCTAATCATTCAATCAACCAGTCAATCAATCAGACAATCTATTAGCCAATCAATCAGACAATCAATCAATCAGCCGATCAATCAATCAGCCAATCAGCTGATCAATCACTCAGCCCATCAACTAATCAATCAGCCAATCAATAAGCCAATCACCCAATGAATCAGCCAATCAATGAATCAGCCAATCAACCAGCCAATCAACCAAATCACAAATATCCCATACAATCCAACACTCGAGTGCATGCTAGTTTGAAGTAATGATAAAGAATCTGTTTTTGTGCAGAGAACATAACTGCACACTGAGGAGGAGACAACAGGCATTACTGTGTGAGTTGGATTTATCACCGAATATGTATTTCACCGACATGGACAGCTACGAAATCTCCCTCCGTTCCGGTTACCATGGAAACAACTTCTCCGTCTTACTAGATGGTGACTTCATGCCTTACAAAAAAAGTAAGAGCAATGTCTTTCACGCGAGCCCACAGTAACTGCACAGTTCGTGATTGGTGTGTGTGTGTGTGTGTTGTAGTTCGCCCGGTCCCTCCGTCTAACCTGTCTCTACGGTGGGAGAAGGACAGGGCAGTTTTCCAGTGGGAGAGCGGATATGATCCAGCCTCCGACTTGCTCATTCGCTACCTCCAGTACCAGCTCAGCGTGCACAGCGACCACAAGGTGTGTGTGATACCCCTATGGTGATACCCCATATTATTTTCATTCTTTATATATAGCCGTATTCCTTTTTCGATTTTGGGTGATCTATTTTAATAGGAAATCACGTCTTAGAGTGCACAATTCACAACCAGTTCATGTTATTCTAAACTAAAGAATTAAAACGTCGGTTTTATTTATATATTTTTTAAAAGGGATAGTTTACCCAAAAATGATAATTAGCCCATGATTTACTTACCCTCATCCTACATGAATATGACATTCTTTCAGACAATAGTTGGAGTTATATTTAAAAAATGTCCTGGCTTTTAAGTGCATAAATATAAGTGCATCTATTCATCATAAAAGTGCATCTATCTATTTATATACAAGTGTATACATCATTCAACACCTCATCCAAGCATGGAGGACTATAGAAGGGAGAAGTATAAAGTTATAAGTTTAATAATTCCAACATAAAAATGGAAATAAATTACCTTTTGACAAATTAGATATTTAAACCTGTAATTTTCATGTTTTAAAATGTAGTGAAATAGAGAATTGAGGATGTTTTTTTCATTCATCCAAAACGCATAGGGACTTTCAACTGGCAAGACCCAAGAAGAAAAGGCCAAACATTTCTTTATTTGCGTCGCATTACAGAAGTGAAACGAGTTATGAAAAGCATTTCATGGTGTTGTTTAACGCGTGAAGTCTAGTGCGCTTTATACCAACTTGGTTTAAAATTAATGTGTTTTTCTACTCATAACAGCTCTTTTTCACAAGTGTCTAGCAAGAAATGCAGAAACATGATCACCCAGTGTAATGTTGAAAATGACACTCATTTGTCAATGAACTTGTAAATTTTCTGTCTGAGAATGCTTATAAATTCTTTGTGACAAATGACAATGCATGTGTTTCAGCTGTATGAGGTAGAAGCTGTTGAACTGAAGGTGTATGTGGACGGGTCTAGATTTGAACCTAACACAAATTACACAGTGCGTGTGAGATCTCGGCCGGATCAAGTGTATTATAAAGGCGTGTGGAGTCCGTGGGCCCCTGCGATACACTGGAGGTCAGGGGACATTCTCAGTGAGTCCGATTGGATAACACGCAAACAAATGCAAAGGAGAAACAGTAAAGCTGACAGATCTTCCCATATTGCCTGGTATTTTCTTCCTTTGCCTTTTCTGGTGGTCCTTCTGTCCTGTATCCCATATTCAAGGTAAGAAACATCCTGAAGTTCTTTGATTTCTTCCATCTTTAGTCATGTAGCCTACATAAACGATGGACGTTTGTGTTGTAGATGGAGAAAGGGTGATTATATACCATCACCCGCCCCCTTTTTCAGAGACTGGGATGTAGATGCTAAGGTAACTCCCACCATATGTACATCAAAACACTTTACATAGTTTTACCAGTAGATGCCAACATGAAAAAGCCAAACCAATAGGGTATGCGTGTGACGGAGTGCCTGCAGTTACTCACAGTGAGTGGCAAAAACTGAGCGGCTGTATATGTTTTCAGCATGAATGCCGCGAAAAAACAAAACACACACATATAAATTCGGAAAGAGCTTTGCGATAGACTGTACAACTAGATTTGACAAAAAATCGGAGGTATATTTTTTACAGACTGCTATAGAAAGAGGAGCAAATGGATCGCTGCAATTCACAGAAACAACTAGACTCCAGTCAGCGAAAGGTTGATCTGCAGTTATCATTTTGTGTCAATATGCTGAATTAAGTGTAAAACCATACCCATATATTCTGTATTGTTTTTATATATATATATATATATATATATATATATATATATATATATTTATCAACTCAATTAAATATTTATCATTGCATATTCTGCATTATTGGATGTTTTTTAATAAAACACTGACCAAAAAAAAAAAAAAAAAAAAAAACTATAAAGTTTTAGGGCTGGACGATATGATGACATATATCTATATATAACACTGAAATAAGTGATCACCCGGATTTAGACCTACCTATATTGTATTTATGTAAAGCATTCACAGGCAAATTTGCTTTATGTTTAGGTCTATATTGCTTTTTTTTCCCCGGTGTCGAAATCAGGCAAACATAACGTTACATGTCAGGCAACACGATTCCTGGCTGCATGTCAATATCCATGGATCACTGGATCTTTAGTAACTTGTAAGGAACATTATATTGAGTGCAACATTTTGTTTAAATTGATAAAATTGTTTGTTTTAGTCGCATTTTCGCAGTTTCCCCTATTAAATACAGTCAGGCAGCAGATCTTTTGCCACTCAGTCAGGCTGAGGGGGGTTGTTCTGGCGGGAAAGTGACGGCAATGCATTCCCTCGATATGTATTCTTACGAGCTCTGTATCATTCGCTTTTTGCCAGCAGTGTTTGTTTAAAACCGTGATTCCCCGGAGGTTTGAGATTTAGCTACTCAATGTCAACCTTTCTCGCTCGTGAAAACCATAGAAAACTAACCTCTTTCACTCAAACGCCAGACATGTCATCAAAATGGCCAGCCGTTGGAACTTCGCTATTGTGGATATGACGAGACACGCACTGGCGAGTGACGTATGTACGAAAATATAAACTTACCATAGTGAATTAGGGTAAGACATGAACACGTTTTGAAAGAAGGGTTAATTATGTATTCACTCATTGTTTAAATGTTGAATACAGTAAGTTACAATTAAATGAA